GCCCAGCGGGTGTTAGAAACCCACTCTCCGCCGCCCACACGCACTAGCTCAGCCGCACAAGCGGGAGGAGCATTTCAGGGCAAACACGGCGGCCATTGCTTCTAAAAAGGCCCCTTTCTGCGGCAGGAGCCATGGAGCCGCCGGACACCCGGCTGCGTCGGTCTGGCAGGGACAGGCTGTCCTACCTGTGATCCGGTTCTCGATCTCCCCCTGCATCTGCAGCGAGTCCACATAGATGGTCCGGTTCCCGATGAAGCGCGCGCAGGCGATGCCCCGGTACGGCTGGCAGAAGCCGTCCTCGTGGTCGTCGTCTCTGGGAAAACACACCGCGGGTAAGCGCACCGGAAGCTGCCGGGCGCCCCCGAGAATTTTCCCTTTTAAATCTGGCATCTTAGGGTCTAGCCATCTTCTTCCTTGTAATTACCCAAATGAACGGAGAGCTCACGGCCACACAAACCCCGCGCCGAGGTTTACAGCCGCTTCACCCAGAACGCTAAACCGTGGGAGCCTCCGAGATGCCCTTCCGCAGGCCCATCCACACAGCGGAATATTATTCAGCGACAAAAACATGGCCTGGCGGACCTTACATGCGTATGGCAAAGTGAAAGCAGTCACTCTGAAAAGGCTGCGTCCTGGATGCTTCCAACTACAGAACATTCTGGAAAAGGCGAAACCACGGAGACAGTAAAACCCAGTGGTTGCCAGGGACGCAGAGGCAGAGCACAGGGAATGTTAAGACAGTGCAGCGAGTCTGTATGACACTGTAATGGTGGGCAAACCCCACAGTACAGAAAGCCAGTCTAGACTATGCACCCAGTGTACATCAGTGAGTGTGCAGGACCAGTCAGTACCACTGCATCAGCTGCTCAGCGAGGGGACAGTGAGTGTGCACGACCGCAGTCAGGAACACTGCGTCAGCTGCTCAGCGAGGGGACAGTGAGTGTGCACGACCGCAGTCAGGAACACTGCGTCAGCTGCTCAGCGAGGGGACAGTGAGTGTGCACGACCGCAGTCAGGAACACTGCGTCAGCTGCTCAGCGAGGGGACAGTGAGTGTGCACGACCGCAGTCAGGAACACTGCGTCAGCTGCTCAGCGAGGGGACAGTGAGTGTGCACGACCGCAGTCAGGAACACTGCGTCAGCTGCTCAGCGAGGGGACAGTGAGTGTGCACGACCGCAGTCAGGAACACTGCGTCAGCTGCTCAGCGAGGGGACAGTGAGTGTGCACGACCGCAGTCAGGAACACTGCGTCAGCTGCTCAGCGAGGGGACAGTGAGTGTGCACGACCGCAGTCAGGAACACTGCGTCAGCTGCTCAGCGAGGGGACAGTGAGTGTGCACGACCGCAGTCAGGAACACTGCGTCAGCTGCTCAGCGAGGGGACAGTGAGTGTGCACGACCGCAGTCAGGAACACTGCATCAGCTGCTCAGCGATGCGGACACTAGGGAGGATGTCACTAATGGGGGAACCGGGTGTGCGGATGAGGGGCCACATGAGAATACTCTGTACTTTATGTTCAACTTTTCTGCAAACCTAAAACTTCTCTAAAAAATAAAGTCTATTAACTTGATTAAAACCCCGAATCTTTAAGGGGGGCAGGGTGGACTGAGTGTGAACTGGAATCTGAGAGGGAACATGTCCATGTCCACGTCCAAATACAGAGACAGTTCAACTCGAACACGTTTCATCAGAGAGCGGTGTGCACGCCCTCCCCGGACACCGGGGCCCCACTGGCACTTGTGCGGACGATGCTCATGGGAAGCTCCGCTACCCTTCACTGCAGAGAGAAAACTGGCAAATGGAGGAAGCCATGGGGGATTCCAAGAAGTTTGGCCCTCACAGCATTTTCTCCAGGAGGTGACGCACAACCTTGTCTCTGCTGTGTAGACAGCAGGCCATGTGTCTAAATGTGGGGACAGAAAGGGAAACCCCCCAAAGCCCCCTCCCCCGCCATCGGGCCTTCCGAAACCCGGCTAGTCTTAAATTGTTCTCTGTAGAATGACCGTGCAGGTTGCCCCAGCTGACGAGGTCGCGCTAAGGGCACCGACGCGGTGAAAGTCGTCCTCGGATGCTCAAGGAGCCAGTGACGGGGCCACGGCCCACACAGGGGCGGCCGCTGCTGCGAGGGAAGGAGCAGGGCTGGGGCTCGAGGGCGAGCTTCATGCAAGGGCTCAGGCCTGTCACTACATTGCTTGTTTTCAAGCAAAGCTGCCACTTGCCCCTCAGGGTAACAACACCTGTCACTGCACCCCACACTGATGTCAACGACCCCATGGAACCTGTGCTGTGTCCACCTTAACCTGCGGGCTCTCTCAGGGTGGAGCTGGACGCTTGTAGCAGCAGAGACAGGGAGTGACGGGCACCTTTTCCCAGGGCCTCTGCTCCAGTGATTCTCCCTTCTGCTGTCTTCTCTGTCCCTGAAGAAAATATTCCAAAGAAAACTATCTGGAGCCAAAAATCACCAAGGTCAGGAGATTCTGGCGTCAACAAGAAGCAGGAGCCCGCCGTCCAGTTCACGACCATCACTGCTGTGGGTCAAGGGTTCCTTAACTACAGCTCACATAGGCGAGCGCGTGTGCTAACACACACCCAGAGCCGCCACGGCCAGGCACACCCGCACAGGGCCGCCAACTCTGCCGGCGGGTGCGCTAGGCATCGGTGTGCGGGTTGGGTGCAGGGCACATGCCTGCTCTACCGGGAAAATCCTTAAGAGGTTCGTCACCTACACCCAGGGTACGGGATTCCATCCAGTCAGTCCCATGGGGCATCCCAGCAAGACTGACAACTTCTCTCTGCTTCAAGAGTCAAGGAATGGAAACCTATTCCCTCACTGTGGGCCCCTCCCTGGTGGGCCCCTCCCTGGGTGGGCTCCTTCCTGATGGGCCCCTCCCTGGGTGGGCTCCTCCCTGATGGGCCCCTCCCTGGGTGGGCCCCTCCTTGGGTGGGCCCCTCCCTGGCTGCTGCTCAGGTGCCCCCAGGATGGAAAGAGCAAAGGGGGGCAGGGCAGACAGGCTGAAAAGGGGCTCAAGGCTGGTCCACAGCTTACTCATCCAAGTGGGCTTCCAATCTGAGTTTTAGAAAATGTCCAAAACATAAAGAATAGTTGGAAAATGAGATCCTTCAGGTTATTACATTTTAAGAAAACAAGTGGGAATTACTTGACATTTTCACATGGATTTATGCTTTCTCTTTACCAGGCGCATCTGGGAACTCTGGGAGGTGAGAGCTGAAGAGCATCTGTGAGACCAGTCCCTCGGGAGCCACAGAAAAGCTCCGGGCAGAGCACCATCCATCAATCCGTCAGCCACAGGGGACACGCTCATCAACTCCAGAATAACAAGCTACGAGACCAGGTCTGGAATTCTACACGCCCAAGGCACTGACCCAGGGTCTACTGACAGGTGAGGAAGAAACGCAACATCAGTTCATAGTCACGGAAGAAGAAAGCTACCAGGTGGCGCAGGACACAGCCACAGGAGAGGAGGAGGGTGGCCGGACAGAGGAAAGGCCACCGTGTGTGACAGGATGTCCTTCAGGAGGGACATGGCGGGCTGACTGCCAACCGTCTCCCCAGCTTGTGCATGTTAAACATAAAAGTTAGTTTCAAGAAAAGCTTAGAAAACTCATGGATATCAATAATGAATGACTCTTAAAGGAAAGTAAGGTTCCTTTGAGGTTGAAAAGTACTGTCAAAATTCAGATGTAGTTACACATTGTGTCGGAAGTTAACATTCCCCCCTCATTGTTTTTGTTAAAAGTGGTAAAACCATTTCATAATCGTTGTTCTTATGAAAGGGTATGTCTAAGGTAGATGAATGACGAGAGGAAGCCATGGTTGAGATGAGTTGGAGGGTGTGGGTGTGGGTGTGGGTGCGGGTGCGGGTGCGGGTGCGGGTGCGGGTGGAGGCACAGCAAAAGCACAGAGAACAAACAGAAATAAATCACTCTGACCAAGTCTGAAGCTAAACTCCATCAGCTGCAGGTGACCTGACCGTAATCTAATAGGCTGCTAGAGCAAAACACTCTTCAGAGGAAGGTGAAATCTAGAGTATAAACCACAATGTCCTGTATACGATAAGAAATTACCAGACACATGAAAAAACAGCAAAATGTAACCCATGGCCAAGAGAAATCAACCCACAGATGACGGAGATGTCAGGCTCCGCAGACCAGACTTCAAGGAACTGCAAGTACAGACAACAATGCGTGGGTAAAGGTAAGAGTTGTGGGGAGATGGGAACTGTGAAAGAAGCAGAGGCAAGACATGAAAAACATCTCCAATAAAACATGGTGTTAACCACAGAGTGGAGAAGACAGAAAAAGAGCAGTAACTTGACAGGTCAACAGACAATTCCAAACTGAAACTAAGAGACAGGAAGATTTACCGAAAATGCGCAGAGCCCGGCGAGCTGTGGGAAAACAGGGGTCTGACCTCTGTGCAGTCAAACCCCAGCGAGAGGAGAGGTGCGAGCAGGAAACAGTGTGAAGAAGTCATGGCCAAACGTCTTTCCAAATCGGGTGAAAACAGTCACACACTGGCCAGGGAACGCCAGCGAAAAGCAAGCAAGATACATACAGAGAAAACCACACTGACCCACATCACAGCCGACTTGCTGAAACAGGATAAATGGAAACAGGGGACATGACAAACGGTGGAACAGTGAAAACAGAAGACCAGGAATGACAGCTGCCCTGCACTCAGAGAAAATACACCGTGAGCTGGAATTCCATCATCAGCACAAACACCTTTCAAAGGAAAGGGTCTCACCAAAAAGACGTACACGTGAATGCAACTCACATCGGAGCTGACACGTAAGCAAGGACGGACAGAACTAGAGGACAACTCAGAAACACCCACAATTACAGCCGGAAATTTCAACACTTGCCTCTCAGCAATGAATTCAATTAGGGAAAAAATTGGTGAAGAGTCAACGGGGGAAACAGTCCCCACCCCTGGAGCGACGGGACATTTGCAGGACAGCACACCCGACAGGCACACCCGTTTCAGTGCAGCGGCACGCGCACCCAGAAGGACCGCTGCTCACACTCACCCAGAAGGACCGCTGCTCACACTCACCCAGAAGGACCACTGCTCACGCTCACCCAGAAAGGCCATGTGCTCACGCTCACCCAGAAGGACCACTGCTCACACTCACCCAGAAAGGCCACTGTTCACGCTCACCCAGAAAGGCCATGTGGTGCTCATCACCCAGAAAGGCCACTGCTCATGCTCACCCAGAAAGGCCACTGTTCACGCTCACCCAGAAAGGCCACTGTTCACACTCACCCAGAATGGCCACTGCTCATGCTCAC